CATTCCAAGAATCCCGTGTGCCTCTTATTTGGGAAAGGTCTAACACACATCATGTGGTTAGTGAGGCCTTTTTTTCATGGAGTGGTTAAGCATCACTGTATTCTGAAGTGAGGATGGTATTCTGTCCCTGAAAAAAAATCTTGAATTCTAGGCTCCGCTTGTCCTTTGTAATTTCATATGTCTAATCTTCAACTCAGGATGTGGAGGCATGTGTCAAGATTGTCTTTTTACCACCAGATACAGCATCTTGATGCAACCATAGGATCGAGGAGTCATCAGAAACATTTTAAATGCCACTACACACACGGTGTCACGCAAGGGCACGCAGAAAGACTACAGGTCCACATCCCTTTATTCCGAAAATTCTCGAATATTGAAAAGTTCCAACAACATAAGTTTTTTCATGGAGTTGTGGATATGGGTGTTAAAAGTGTCTCAGTCACCAGTTGGGCAGACATCAAGTTGTGTCTCAGAATGTAGTGTTTTTTTTTTACCTCGTGCATCTGCTGATTTCACCAATATTTTCTTTTGCTTTTATTTTGATGGTTGTGTTTAATTTCACTGTGAAAATGTCAAAAAGAGCTGCAGATACCTATCGGTAACAAGTAAGAGAAAGAAAAAGGAAGCAATCTGACATTATCAATAATACAGAACAGTAGTTAACTGCAGAAGCTTGATCGTGATGTGTCAGCGTGTTGCATTTACTGAAGAATATGGTGTTGGAACTACCATGTTTTGATTAAAGGAACAGAAATACTAACGTATGAAGTTTTTATGTAGACTCGTGATGAGCCAAAAACTAATGAAAAATGTGAAAAAATGGCATAAGAGCAAAAAACAAAGAGATTTGCCTTGTGCTAACGAAGTGGGTTTGACAATGAGAAGTACACATATTGACTTGACTGGCTCATGAACAAGCTAGATATGTCATGAGGATGAACATGAGAACGTGTGTGTCAATATCAGTGTGGCTGCCGAAATTTAAGAAGGTGTATGGTGTAAAATGTCCGGTTCTGCTGAGAATGCCATAGTCAGAAACATATGTTACGCAAGACAGCTTGACATGAAAGAAGTCTCTTAATAAAGGCTGTCTGTCATCGTCTTGAGAATTATATCCCAGTCTTAATTAACCTGTATGTATTTTTCATTATATTACTCATGAAATAAAAACGTCGTAGTATTTCGTAGTCTTAATTAACTCCACTTAGTGTGGGTTTATTGTCTTTGATTTTGCTGCAGTGTTAATGTTTGATTATGGGGTGCTGCCCTAGACCAACCTTCATTCTGAAATCTGAATTTATGGCCCAAGGGTTATTGGATCAAGGATGTGGACCTGTAGCAGCAGCTCAAATGACATCACAGACCGTGGAGTGCCAGAGATTTGGGTGATCTTTAACATTGCAGGTGCATCTACTAGTGAAAAAAGCATGGGATATGTATCAAATCAACAATAAATTCTGTCAAAGAAAAATATGGCTTAATGTGGTAAGTGATTTTACGGTTTTCAGTAGGTAGGGAGGTCAGATTCAAAGAAAATTGTTCGATCTGGCAAGGAAAGTGCCTGGAGAGGCTTTTGATGATATGCGCCAGATGACTCATTGAACTAGGCAATGATAATGAAAGAACCAACTGCGAGGAAAGTGTTACCGGAAATTAATTCCAAATGCTGAGTAAGTAGATGATAGGGATAAAGAATCTGAGCGAAACAAACTAATGTTGACTCTGCTAAAGTATGCGAGTCACTTCATACGCTCTGGTAAAGTTACAGAGTTTTTTACTAAAAGGGCCCTAACTCTTCAGGATAAGCAATTGCTGTAAGACATGTATTCCATTCATAAGTCACAGAAATCATTGTAGCGCAGTTTTCAGGAAAAGTAGACCCATGAGAATTATGATTGTCCACTGCACTTTCAACCTACCATGTATATACAGTGGTCCCTTGATACTATTGTAAGGCACGCTATAGTCGTAATTTTCGAAATCGTAATGTCATTTCGTCAAAACATTGGGCTCAGAATGTTGTTTGAGTCACAAATAGTCGTTCGTCTGGGGCGCTTACACACAGCGTCAAGCTGCCTCCACACTCATCCCAGCATGTGTGCTCTTGTTTATCAGTGAGCGAGGCTGTTCCCACGAGTTCATACGATACATTTCATAAATTCCCTTCGTTTTAGTGCTTGCAACCTGCTAAAATAGGTCCATGGTCCAAAGAAAGCTTATAAGTGCAGGCCTTTGGTAAAAGGATTGTGGAGAAAATACACACATAAAATTTTAGAAAAAGTTTGTAGAAAAATACAAAGGTGGTGGTGGTAGCGTGGTTGAGTGGAAACAGTTTTGTGGTAGAGGTAGTTGAGGGTGGTAGTGATGGTGGTAGAAGGTTGTAGTGATGGTGGTTTAGAGTAGAAGGTGGTTGAGTTGATGGTGGTAGAGGGTGTAGCAGTTATGTAATGGTAGAGGGTTTTTGCGTTGTGATAGTGGTAGGGTTGTTAGCAGTTGTAATAGTGTACGAGGGTGTAGCAAGTTGTGATGGTGGTCACTAGCACTTAGAGACCATACAATAAGTGTCAGGTGCCCGAGACTGTTCAACTGCCTCCCAGCACACATAAGGGGGATTACCAACAGACCCCTGGCAGTCTTCAAGCTGGCACTGGACACGCACCTAAAGTCAGTTCCTGATCAGCCGGGCTGTGGCTCGTACGTTGGTTTGCGTGCAGCCAGCAGCAACAGCCTGGTTGACCAGGGGCTGATCCACCAGGAGGCCTGGTCACAGACCGGGCCGCGGGGGCGTTGACCCCCGAAACTCTCTCCAGGTAAACTCCAGGATGAAGCCACTGTGTGGCGAAACGTTTCTTCAATAAAGATACCCAAGAGTTGCACATGTGTCTAATTTATCAACATGTCGGTTCTCTGAACCATTCATCTACAAACAATTTTAATGTCCGGTGTAATGGGGAACCCATCACTTCGGTTTCCTCAGTAAAGTATCTGGGAATCCCCTTTGACCCATGCATGTCAGGAGAATAGATAGGGAACAGTGTAGTAAATAAAGCGAATGCAAGACTTAAGTTCCTCTACAGACAAGCACAGTGTCTACCTACTGAGGCTCGCAAGACCCTATGTCTAGCTCTTATACAATGTCATGTGGATTACGCTTGCTCTTCATGGTACTCTGCCTTGACAAAAATACTGAATGATAGACTGCAAATCACCTAGAACAAAATGGTAAAATTCATCCTCCACCTGGGTCCAAGAGAACATGTATGCCTGGAGGAATTACAATTGGATATGCTGAATGTTGAAGACATAGTAAAACAACTGAAGTTAAATCACGTTTATAAAATTGCTCACAAACAGTGTTCAGAATATCTTACTGCCAATTTTGTCAAGGCTGGGAACCAAAGTAATCATGGTAATAGGGGTAGAGAGCACAACTTTGTAGTACCCACAGTCAGTGGCAGGCTTCAAACACCTTTTATTGTACAGCAATAAAGGAATGGAACAGACTGCCTGTACATGTCAAACCCAAGAAGAAAGCCAAAATATGCCTAATTAATGTAGCGACAGAAAGGGATGAGAATGATTTTTTTTATTTTTTTTTTTAGCTAACACACATGCAAATGTAAATAACTCATTTTACCATATTCCTAGTATATATCCTTTATAGTATAATAATAAATCTCCTACATTGTATAATAATAAGGTATTACAAAGACCCCAATGGAAATAAGTCACTCTGTATGACTCTTTTGGATTATCCTAGCTCGGTGGCCTGGTGGCTGAAACTCCCACTTCACACACGGAGGGCCCGGGTTCGATTCCCGGCGGGTGGAAACATTCCGACACGTTTCCTTACACCTGTTGTCCTGTTCACTTAGCAACAAATAGGTACCTGGGTGTTAGTCGACTGGTGTAGGTCGCAATAATACTTTACATTAAAAAAAGTTATGCAGAGAATGAATTTGTTCTAAGGGAAAAATTGATAATAACATGGAAAAAAATACAAGCACTGAAAGGTGAATCACTTACAGTTGTGCAGAAATACAGATAACACTTAGTCACTCAAAATACTGATAAACTTGCTTGTATAGTCTTGCTCGCACGCAAGGTTGGAAAATGAAAACAATGAAACACTGCAACGATACAAGGCTTTACACAGGGAAAAAAATATATATGAGTGCGGCTATTGTCAATCAACAGAATGTGTTTTAGCTATTATTGTATGACAACGTTATAATTCTAATTACTACCATGGGGAGTGTTGAATCCGTAGGGGTCACAGAGCAGCCGGGGGAAATGTAAGGTAAAAAGGTTAAGATAAGATAAGATAAGATTTCGTTCGGATTTTTAACCCCGGAGGGTTAGCCACCCAGGATAACCCAAGAAAGTCAGTGCGTCATCGAGGACTGTCTAACTTATTTCCATTGGGGTCCTTAATCTTGTCCCCCAGGATGCGACCCACACCAGTCGACTAACACCCAGGTACCTATTTGCTGCTAGGTGAACAGGACAACAGGTGTAAGGAAACGTGTCGGAATGTTTCCACCCGCCGGGAATCGAACCCGGGCCCTCCGTGTGTGAAGCGGGAGCTTTAGCCACCAGGCCACCGGGCCACCCAGGTTTATTTCCTTGGATCAAGAAGCCTTCATCGCCATCAAGGAACCTCCCTTAATGGGGATTTTACTATATTCTATAATTCTGTCTAAAATACATATTTATCTACCTTTTCTCTGTCAGTGTATACAAAAAAGAATGGCATGACGAATTTTAAATTTGAATCGTGCGGTTCCTTCCATTGCTGCAGACGACGCCTGAGACAACTGCATGAGCGCCACACTAATGCTTCTCAACAAGAATTGGGCTTATTAGGCCACTCGTCCACATTTACGCTCAGGTGAGCTCATTTCTAGATGATAATGACTCACGAGACAAAAGCTGAGTGTCGTGTTAATGCCATAGTAGCGTCGTGTGGTGGTGATCTCGTTACCAAAGGTTGAAGGGTTGGGGTGGCGGCCGCCGCCATTTTGGTAACGAGACTTTCTGAAGGAGTGAGGACGGTGCTGCTCACACCCGCCACCTCCAGGAAGGTGCTCAATTGTTGGTGCCCTTAAGGGTTTACCGCTTCATTATAATTATAGTATGATGGATAGAGGCTCTAGATCCAAGGAACTGGTCTTGTCCTCACCTTCCTGAAATGGACCTTCAGGTCGCTAGTTTAGGTCCTGGTCATTTCACGGGAGGTTCCTTGATGCTGGCGCGAGGCTCTTGATCGAAGGAGTTGGACTCTTGTTCCAGATCCTTGAATCGATTATGAATGCCTTCCATACCTCCAAGCGCTATATGACCCTTCACTAATTTAGCGCTACCTCATGAATAATAAAATAGGTCATGATCAGAACTCCGGTACTCCCTGAAGAGGTTATTTGATGCTAGTGACAGGTTTTTGATTTGAGGACTCGGACCTGTGCTCCAGTTCCTTGAATCGGTCATGAATGCCATCCATTCTCCTCAGACGCTGTATGCCATACGGATTTAGTGCTCCCCTTGAATAATACCTTATCGATCTCCGGCTCGAGTGAAACATTGTTGGATATGCTTCCTTAAAACCCATCTATTTACCTAGTATTAAGTAGGTACCTGGATATTAATTAACCGAGGATTGTAGGTCGCATCCTGGGGAACATTCTTGGGTTATCCTTGGTAGTTAACCCTCCTGGTTAAAAACCCGAAGAAATCCAATCTTAGGTTATCTGAAATGCTCTGCACAACTTGGGGTTATAAATAAAGTATGTCATTTGTCAACTAGAACTTAACTCTGTATCAGTTGTGTCCCCTCAAGGAAGGTTCCTTGATGTTGGTGAGGGGCTCTTGATTTAGGGAATTGGATCTGTGCTCCAGTTCCCCGAATTAAGCCTGAATGCCTTCCACATCCCCCCCCCAGGCGCTGTATAATCCTCCGGGTTTAGCGCTTCCCCTTAATTATAATAATAATAATAATGTATCAGTTGTAATATAGTGCATTTGTAGGAATAAAGTATAATTAATATTTTTATTATATATCATTATCATCATCCATATGCACTGGCAACAATTTTCTTGTGTAAATTTATATTTTGGGATATACAATATAAGAATCAATCCAGAGTTGTAACGTGTCAGGTCAGTCACAACAATGTAAACAAAGACAATGTAAACACGCGCGCCATTCACATGTTGACTGCTGGAGGGGTGAGGTAGGGGTCCCAGTCTACTGAGGCTTAGCTGCATAATCCTACGGGTTTAGCGCTTCCCCTTGATTATAATAATAATAATACTGAGGCTTAGCATGAGAGTGGGCTGTATGACCATTGTAGGTTTAGCGCTTCTTTTTTTATTATAATAATTAGCATGAGTGTGTATCTAACCTAATGGGGAACTATTTTGCTCTTGTTTCTATTTGTACAAGGAACTCTTGTTCCCTTTCACTTGGTGGTTGTGGCTTGGTTGATAAGTGTCAATTTAATAATAATAATTTTATTTACTACAAGTACATATACAAGGTATACAGGCCTACCTGGCTGACATTAGTGACATACTATATAGAAAGCCGCTTTTTATGCTGAACATTTCGGGCAAATGAGGTCAGTTTTGTCCCAGGATGCGACCCACACCAGTCGACTAACACCCAGGTACCCATTTTACTGATGGGTGAATATAGACAGCCGGTGTAAGGAAACACATCTGATGTTTCCACTCCTTCGCGGGGAATTGAACCTGAACCCTTATCTTGTGAAGCGAGAGCTTTTGCCACCAGGCCACGGGGCACCGTGGAGGGGGGCAAGGGATCACTTTGGGCATGGGTTTCCTTAATAATAAGAATCATTATTTCTGCAAGTAGATGTACAATGTATACTGGCCTAGCTGACATAAGAACATAAGAATGGAGGAACACTGCAGAAGGCCTACTGGCCCATGCGAGGCAGATCCTTATCAAAATGACCTCTACCCAAAGCTACCCAAGAAATAACTCCCATACCCAATGACACCAATCAAACCCAGCCCCTCCCACTCATATATTTGTCCAGTCTTTTCTTAAAGCTACCCAAGGTCCTAGCCTTTATCACCCAACTGGGAAGACTGTTCCACGCATCTACAACTTTGTTAGAAAACCAGTACTACTTACCTATGTCCTTTCTAAATCTAAACTTATCCAACTTAAATCCATTATTTCTGGTTCTTACCTGGTTCGACACCCTCAGTACTTTATTAATATCTCCCTTGTTTATGCCCGTCATCCACTTATACACTTCAATGATATCTCCCCTCATTCTATGCCTCTCCAGAGAGTGGAGATTTAAGGCATTAAGTCTATCTTCATACGGGAGGTTCCTTACACAGTAAATCATTTTGGTCATTCTTCTCTGTATGTTCTCTAATGAGTCTATATCCATCCTGTAGTATGGGGACCAAAACTGAGCAGCATAATCTAAATGAGGCCTCACTAGTGATGTATAGAGCTGTAAAATAACTTTTGGACTGATGTTACTTATACTTCTTGAGATAAATCCAAGTAATCTGTTGGCTTTGTTGCACACACTAAGGCACTGCTGTCTTGGCTTTAGATTTCTGCTTACCATGACTCCCAAGTCTTTTTCACATTCTGCATGATCGAGCTCTACTTCTCCTAGATTATACCTTCGAGGGTTATTTTCATTACTAAGGGCAAGTACCTTACACTTATCCACATTGAACTTCATCTGCCATTTTTCAGACCAAGACATTAATTTGTCCAAATCGTCCTGGAGTTCATTGATATCCTCCTCAGAGTGAATTATACGGCCTATCTTTGTATCATCAGCAAACTTACTCATGTCACTCGTAATCCCTTCATCAAGGTCATTAATGTAAATTATGAACAAGAGAGGGCCTAAAACCGATCCTTGTGGAACGCCACTAGTGACTAATCCTCATTCAGATTTCACTCCATTAATGGTAACTCTGCTTTCTATTGGTAAGCCATGCCTCTATCCATGCTAGAACTTTACCTCCTATACCCTGAGCTGCCACTTTTCTTAAGAGTCTCTTGTGAGGTACTCTATCGAAGGCTTTACTAAAATCCAAATAAACAATATTACAGTGGACCCCCGGTTAACAATATTTTTTCACTCCAGAAGTATGTTCAGGTGCCAGTACTGACCGAATTTGTTCCCATAAGGAATATTGTGAAGTAGATTAGTCCATTTCAGACCCCCAAACATACACGTACGAACGCACTTACATAAATACACTTACATAATTGGTCGCATTCGGAGGTGATCGTTATGCGGGGGTCCACTGTATATTCCTTATCACTGTCAACTGCCTCAAATGTTCTATTGAAGAACGTCAGTAAGTTTGTCAGGCAGGAACGACCTCTCGTGAATCCATGCTGAGATTCATTTATCAAGTTATGCTCTTCAAGGTGACTTCTGATAATGTCAGCTATAATTGATTCTAATAACTTGCCCACTATAGATGTCAGGCTTATTGGACGGTAATTTGAAGGAGTGGACTTATCCCCTGATTTGAATATAGGAACCACATTAGCCATCTTCCACAACTCTGGCACAACACTGGTAAGGATGGACGCATTAAACACACTCGTTAATTGCTGACTAAGCTCAATCTTGCATTCCTTAAGTACCCTGGGAAACAGCTCATCGGGTCCCGGGGACTTATTTTGCTTCAGTTTGTCTATCTGTTTAATAACCATGTCCCTCGTGACAGTAATATTAGTTAATTTAAATTCATCAGGAACTAAATAATTGTTAATTACTGAAATCTCATTTACATCTTCCTGTGTAAAAGCTGACAAAAAAGTCATTAAATAAGGAACACATTTCCAGTTCATTATCCGTCAGCTGTCCATTCCCAATTTTCAGAGGTCCTACTTTTTCCTTCACCTTCGTTCTATACACTTGAAAGAACCCCTTTGGATTAGTCTTTGATTCATTAGCAACTCTAATTTCATAGTCACGTTTAGCCTTTCTAATTGCCTTTTTTACTTCTCTTTTAAGCTGAACATATTGGTCAGTAAGGTTAACCTCTCCTCTTCTGATGCGCCTATAAATTCCCCTTTTCTCCCCTAATAGATGCTTTAGCATCCTGTTAACCCATTTGGGATCGTTATTATTAGACCTAATTTCTCTCTGGGGAATGTATATACTCTGGGCACGGTGTACATTATTAACCCTTTGAGGGTCGACAGGCCCTCTCCGAAACTCGTTCTCAGGGTCGGCCAAATTTAAAAAAAAAAAAATTATTTTCTTTTATGAAAAGATAGAGAATCTTTTCCCGATCATAACGATACCAAAAGTTTGAAATTTGATAGAAAACTTACGGAATTATGCTCTCGCAAAGTTAGCGGTCTCGGCGATGTTTACGCATCGGCGATTTTGCCCACTTTGAGCCCCATTTTCGGCCAATTTCACTGTACTAGTCGACAAAAAACATGAATAATTCGCTAGAACTCCATTTTTTCTATCGAATGGGTGCAAGAAACCACCCATTTATAAATTCAACTATCCAGTACAGTGGTCAAAATTTAGCAATTTGGCAATTTCACACAAATTTCAAAAGATGCCAATTTCGGAATAGGGTCCAGAATAAACAAGAAAGACATTCCTGGCACTAAAATGACATTTCCTCTAGTCATTAGTCACGTCTCAAGCCCCCCTTATATTCTTTTGCTTTCCACTTTGAATTTTATTCTCACAAAAAATATAAGATTTACTGTTATGCAGACTACTGCATTAGTGTAAAAAATGGTATAAATATTATTGGTGCACTTGTGAAAGAATATTAGACTCACCAGTTGACGTGTATTGCACGCTTGGCACGATTTGTTTACTTTTGAAATTTGGTAAAAATCGAACATTTCTGCTACTTTGAGCTCAATTTCAAGGCACCTTTCATTGTAAAACCAGTCAAAATCATCTCAATTTCAGTAATATGTCTTCCATTCTATAAAATGAGACCAAGAAAACTAGAATACAACAATAAATACCATACGAAAATACACTGCAAAGTCGCTGATTTATTAAAAAAAAATGGTCAAAGTTTTTTTTTT